TGGAGGACATAGGGACCCATAGGGACCCATCATTCTGCTTCATTCTATCTCTATTCTCCCACTCTGCAGAATCTGTTAGTTCAATCTCTAATCTATGCTTCTTTTTCTATGTCTGCTTCTGTCTCCTTGAACCCCAGTGGGCCTCAGCAGATGGCCGCTCACACTGAGCCTGGTTCTGCTGGAGGTTTCTTCCTGTTCAAAGGGAGTGTTTCCTCTCCACTGTCGCTACAAGCATGCTTAGCGTGATTGCTGAAGAGTCAATGAGTCGATGCAATCAGCTGGTTTTCCTAAGATAGAAAAGTTTGAACCAACCTCACTTGATGATCTGTTTGATCTGGATCTATAAAGTGACCTGAGATGACAAGTGAATTAGAGCTATAGAAATAAACTGAATTAAAATGGAGGGAGGGAGGGAGGGAGATAGATGGTAAGCAGGCTACAGCTTGTGGCATTTTGGGGTCACAGGTCGTCCTCAGGAACCCAGACGCTCAGCTGAGAGCTTTTTAGACCAGAACCAGAACCCTAACTGCTAACAAACTGATGTTCAGTGAGTTCATAGAATGGGTTCTTGTTCAGAAGGAACTCTGCTTTGGTAGTGGTCTGAGTACTGGACCCTCAGTTTCGTACCAGATGAACTAATGGTCCAGTTCCTTTGAGGACAGCATGTCTAGACCCAAAGGTTTTGGTCCATTCAGGTCATGGCCGTTCTGTGTTACCAGCATCCTTCAAACCAGCAACCAGAACCATGACCTCCGTAGAGATAAGACCTGTGGAAGAGCTGTTGGCTGGATCTGGGCTTCCTATCATGTGTTCTGTTTGGACCCGCTGCAGGGGTCTCTAACTGGGGAGGGTACGCTGTGGCCTGTGGGCTCTACCTGCTCAACACCTGCCCTGCTCACCAGCGCTACCTAAGGAGAGGGCTGGGACTCCAGCCTCTGGCCTCGGACCAGCAGCTGCAGGACTGGAGGACCAACCTGCCTTCTGTCCAGAAGGTACCAAACTGCACCGCTACCAGATGGTACCAGAACTGGTCTCAAAAAGAAAACAAGAGTCTTCTAATGATTGCTCTCTGCTGCAGGAGGAGGCCTTCCTGGGAACGCTGCAGAGTTTTGGGATCCGAAGTGGGAAAACTGGGAACCTGGCCATGGAGGTGGATGGTTTGACCTTTCACCCCACCCACTCTGACATGATCCACAGACTGCTGGAGGTGACGCTGGGCTCCAAAGCTCAGAGCCGGGCTGACTGTTAGCACACCTGGTGCTGGCCGTTCCAGAGGGTTGCAGGAGAGGAAGGTGTTTGGGATGCTGCCCTGGTTACCGGGGTTACCTCTCCATCTTTCCTGGCTGCAGGCTGGATAAGAAGCATCTCTGGAAGTTAGGAAGAATAATCTGGGTTTAATATCAATGCGTTGGTTCTGAACAAAAATGAAACATTTAGGTTAAAACATTTCATTTTGGTTCTTTAACAGAATATGATCACACTCGATTTTGTAAACATGTTTAAATTGAATATATTTCACTTCTTTAATGCTTGTAAAGAATCAGTTTTTCTCCTGATCTTAACTTGAATAAAATCCGACCTTAAATAAACGGATGGATGGATGGATGGATGGATGGATGGATGGATGGATGGATGGATGGATGGATGGATNGATGGATGGATGGATGGATGGATGGATGGATGGATGGATGGATGGATGGATGGATGGATGGATGGGGTCAGACCACTTTTATTTGAATTAAAATGCCTCTACAGCTGCTCTGGAGCCTCCAGGGGGCACTAACACCATTACAGGAGCTTCGGAGCAGCAAGCTAACAGGAAGACCAGAAACCCAAGAGCGCCACCTCAGACTCCACAGGTCAAAGGTCATGACCCTGTCTGGAAGATTAAAGAGGGGAAATGGCAGCAGGACGTAGGTTAGCATAGATTTGGTGTTTTCTTTTTCTGGTTCTGGTTCAGGAACCCAGTGGTTCCAAGACCAGGACTTACTTCACCGTTGCTCAGAGTGCGGGTAGTGGAGGAGTTTGGGTCGGTCCGTACCAACAGGACCAGGTCACGTAGGAGCAGATGTGGACCCTACCGATTACATATAGTCAATACGCATGTGCAAGACATCAGATTTGCGTTTGTCCCTTTAGTTTTGTACCAAAAATAGACTTTCAACGTCAATGGGCGTGTATCACTTTAGTCATGTACAAAAAAAACAATTTAAGGTCAGATCACCATACCCTTAAAAAACACCAAAACGGGATAAACAGGTATTGACTGTGGGTGTGCTTATCTGACCGGGTTTGATCCTCTGACAGGACACCGGTCTATAGTGGGGAAAAAAGTATTCAACTATTCATCCTAGTTAAATAAACGGAGACAGATGCGGATTTCACTCAGTCGGCACATTTATTCATATCTTTGCAAAGACAGAACATTTCATCATACAGCCCTAATGGCACGGTTATCGGCCCTGTTCTGCTAGAGCAGCGTTCATTCCTCCTTACTTACAACAATGGAATGTAGTCAGAGTCAAAACTAATTACAGACACTTTGGTTAAACAGTAAAATGTAATGAATAAACCTTGAAACAGAATCTGGTTTGTTATTGAAAGAAGCTATGTCTGGTCTACAAACACCATCCTGCTGAGAATGGTGTGGCCTTGAGAGAGAAACAGACTGAGTAAAAACTTTTATAGTGAGTAAATAGGATAAATTAATATATAATATTAGAGAGAGAGAGAATTTTCCAACAACAGGTCTTAGCGTGGTTCTCCTCTTACTTATCAGGTAGGAGCTTTGGTTTTAGATCCTGTCCCTCTCTGCTGAATTGTTGTGCGGAGTTTCTCAGGGCTCTGTCTTTGACCCGATTTAGTTTTTACTGAATGACCTTCCATTAGAAAAAAAATCATTCAGAGATTTAATGATGTTTCCTATTATTTGTGTGCTGATGATATTTAGCTTTACTGATGTTTTAAGTCCTCAGAGATCCAGAAGTTAAGTCGCCTGCCGAATTGTCTTACGCACGTTAAACAACGACTTGGTGCAAATTCCCTGCAACTAAACTCAGATAAACCAGAGGTGCTGATAATTGCGCCTGATGATGCTATTCCAGGTATCCACCAGGATCTGGGTCACCTTTACCAACTGAGGAAAATCTCTAAACTTAAAACAATTGTCCAAGAGATGATCTTGAAATGATTATCTACGCATTTCTGTCTTCCTGTTTAGACTACTGTAACAGTCTATTCTCACGTCTTAACAGAAAGGAGTCGTCTCATCTTCAGCAGGTTCAGGTCACTGACTCGTACAAACAGAAGGGCTCATATTATGCCGATTCTAAAAGCTCTTCATTGGCTCCCAGCCACTGTTTGGTTCCAGTTTAAAATCCTGGTGCTGACCTTCAGGGCGTTCCCCGGTCAGTCTACCTCCTACATTAGAGACTTGTTTTTTTCCTTATAGCCACTCTGGGAGGCTGAGGTCTATAGAAATAAACATTACAGACTGACAGCAGTCACAGAACCTTGAACTTTCCCACCAGGTGAAAACCTGCCAGAGGTTGCAGAAGACCTGAGGCTGGACTGAAGGTTCCCATCTGAGCAGGACAGCCACCCTGAACATCCACACAGTTGGTGGGCAGGATCAGAGAATGCAGGTGTTAGAACAGCCTAGTCAACCTGCAGACCTAATCTGTGTTAAGAAAACAGAACATCTGATGTTCAAAGATGTTCTGCCATCAGCCTGAATGGACGTGAGCTCAGCGATGTGTGGAGAGGTAAATGTCAGGTAAAGCTTGGACTCATGGAGAAGGTCAGAAGGTTGCTGCTGGCTGCAGGCCGATGGTTTGAGGATATGAACGTTTGAAGCTGGAGCTGCAGAGAAAACCTCGAGTTATGCTTCATCCAGAGGGAGTTAGGATTTCATCACTGTGTGTTGGTGTGCAGGAAGGCGCTGCAGGAGTGTCTGTTGTGAGATCTGAGTGTGATCATTATTCTTGGCCAAACCAGCTGCTGTTGCTGTCGTCTAACAGGAAGTCACGTTAAATTTGGGTCATGAAAGGTGCAGAAGTCCCAGCAGAAGATGGAAAGCTGGGCTGGATGGAGTAAACACCGCTGAAAGCGCCATCATTTGTTTGTGCAGCCAAGAAAACACAGTGATGCATTTCCTTCTGGTCTCAGTGTGTTTGGATGGACCCAGTAAATAAACTGCAGTGACCATCAGACCCACAAACCTCTGGAGATGTTTAAACACATTTTAGATGCTTCGCTTGATTTATGTCCTGGTTGGATCCAGATACACAAACCTCCCCCAGCTGCCAACATGGAGGTGACTACATGCTTCTGGAGAGCTTACTGGACTCTGCTGGATGTCTTCAAACTTTCATCTCTTCAACTAAACTTGTCAGCTAACATCCAGAAAGGCCTCCTCTTGGTGGAGATTGAAGAAAAACAATATTTCTGTATCTTAGACACTTAGACAACTTTTAATATCATTTCGTACACACAGTGTGTATATGCAATGATATTTCCTATGGCATAGCTTTCAGACAGCAAATGATCATTTCTATTCCTTAAAGTTCAGCAGTGATCAAATGTAAACTGTGGGAGAAAAAACATGATGCAAAAGCGCATTGATATGGAAGTTCAAAGCATTAATATATACAGTGCAGACATGCAGAGTTTTGTTATCAGTGTGATGCAGAGTCTGTGACATGATTTTCTCAACAGTTCAGCAGCCTGATGGCGTTAGGGAAGAAGCTGTTGCAGAACCTGCTGGTCCTTCTGAAGCTGAAGCTCTGAAGGGTCCTCAGAAAATTGGAAGCTTCATCCTGTTTATCAGTTTGAAAGTCATAAGACTTTTCAGACAAGAACGAGGTCCAGCTGAACATGTTCCACTAACTTTAGGTTGCTGAATCCAGTTGCAGCTCCTGTTCCTAGTTTCAAACTTCTACCCTTGCTCCTGTTTCTATCTCCTTCACTTTTCTCCCAATCTACAGGTTTACTATTAGTTTCTACAATTTCTAAATATAACTTTCCTTTTTGACCAAGCTTATAGTTAGAGTGGCTCAGGTTATCCTGAGCTATCTCTATAGTTATGCTGCTATAGGCTTAGACTGCTGGAGGACATAGGGACCCCTTTTTCATCATTCTGCTTCATTCTATCTCTATTCTCCCACTCTGCAGAATCTGTTAGTTCAATCTCTAACGTTCTGCTCTCTCTGCTTTTTCTCACAGTAGCTTCATCTGGTCTGTTCCTGTTTGGCTGTGACTCCATCCTGGAGAGAAATATCAGCTGTGCTGCTGCCATAATTGGTGCTATCTGAATAGTAAGCAAGGAGCTAGGACCAGGAAGCACTATGAACCATATGAAGTTGAGGACATCTGCATGCGTATGAAGGTCATGAAAGTACTGGAATTAGGGACAATAACAAAGCTGAAGACAGAGGACACACTTCAAAATGGACAGACAGACTACAGCTCTTGCCCTCAGCCTGGAGTTTGTCAGGGTGAGAAGGAGCTTCTCAGACGGACAGCGTTTCTCTGGCATCATTAGCCATAATCAGGAACCTTCGTTATTTGAACAACAACATGCTGCCATCTGCTTGGATATTGAACTCCAAATTTTACATGAGCCGCAGAACCTTGAAGGAACCATTGGGGCCTGAAGACTCACTGATTCAGATAACGGCCAGGCAGAGGTAGATGGGTCTGAGAGGCAGGTCCTTCTTCAGAATAAGATGGAAAACCAGGGAACCTGCCAGGGAACCATGCTGAACTTGGTGAACATGACAGCAATAGTGCTGGTTGGAAGTGGAGCAGAAACATCTGAAAGGGCTGATTGAGCTTCTAGAGCCTCTGTGGGGTCCAGTGTTAGGTCTCTGCTGTTTCTCCAGGCTGGATGCATCACCAGGTGGATCTCCTATGGAGGTATTCTAGTTACAGACTCTGCTGTCACATCTTCAGTGCTGTCTGGGCTTCTAGGTAACTGCTGGTAGCTCAGTTCTCCTCCTTTGCTCACCTTCTCTGCCTTTTGACCTTCTGAAATCAGAGAAGCAGCTTTGAGTTTGGGGAAGCAAATGGTTCTGGGCAGGGAGGAGTTGAAGCAGCTGCTGGCTGCCTGTAGTTCTGGAACCTTCAGCCCTCTATGAGTCAAAGTAATGACATGTTTGTGAGAACTGCGGCTGGTTGTGACTCCTCACTCAGAGTTATTGTGACTGCAGTCACGCCCACAACCTGCTGATGATCCTACGAACATCGGTGGTTAGGTTGTGTCTGGAAGAACGACCGCGGTGTTTACATTAATAATTGCACTTTACTGACTGAGACTAAGACAACTTTTACGTAATTTTGTTTCCACAGAGCAGATACAAAATGACAATTTGTTTAGTACAGCTTTCAGACAGTAAATAAACATTTCCATCCATCAAGTTTAGCAGTGATCAAATGTAAACAGTGTGGGAGAGAAAAAAATGGTGTAAAAACACATTAATCTGGAAGTTTAGAGCTTTAATATATACGGTGCAAATCTGCAGTATTGTTGGTTTGGTGTTATCAGTGTGATGCAGAGTCTGTGATTTAGAGTTTTCTCAACAGTTCATCAGTCTAATGGCG